TTGGAAAATGGAGGAAGGGACCAGAAGACAAGGGGAATACAGGTAATCCTTAGAAGGTGGAAAGGAAATGGGGTTCTCCTCCAGAGCCCCCTAGAAGCAACAGAGCCACCCATACGTGATTGTAGCTGTGAGTCTGCTGACTTTCAGAACCAGAAGATGTTAGAGCCACTGGGTTTGTGGTAAGTTATTAAAGCAGCAATTTTCCATCTCTGAAGTATACTCTTTATAGAATACATACAGAGCCTGTAGTATGAAGCTCTGACCTCGAAAAGCCAAGACTATCAAACTGAAAAGTTTCTGTGTCAGTCTCTCCCTGGGTTTGGTTTTAGGGGCCTCTGAAGCTGAATAAGGTTCTTTTCCCAGCCTTTCCATGGGTTGCTACAGATTTACTATTCTGGATTCAATATTCCTATCAGAAAATAAAGAACAGAAGCACAGAGCCACTTTCCAAAGTCATAAATGTAGAGATTGCATGAGCCCCATTCCATCCAGATAGTCTCATTTAGAATCGAGACACTTGCCTTCCAGGATGAAATGCTGTACTGTCCAGTCAGCACCAAGACAGAGATGCTGCTGTGGGCTAATGGGAGGGAGAAAGAGTGGATTTTTTTCCCTTGAGGGTATAAAGTAGGAAAAAGCGAATAATGAGTATTGGGCAGGAGAGCCTCATTTAGTCATTTAATTCTGTGTGGGTAAGCAACATCTGTGAGAAAGCTGTCTTTCCTCTCAACTTACAGACATTTATAACCGTACCAGAAGGAGGTATAAACACATCATGATGAAGAGAGAGGATACACTCTAACTGCAGGCTGTAGTAAAACCTATAGTGATCCCAGAGGTCTCTTCCAGTCCCCAGCACTGAAGCATCTGGCCCTCTACATTCCTGCTCTCATATGCTTGTCCTATCTCCTGCAGTGATGAAGACTGATTCCTAAGACAGGCAATTCCACATCTGGAAGGATTACTTTCTGACAGCGCTCCTGTTTAGCATAATCTTTTCATCGCCACCACTTACTTTCTTGTAAGTCTGAACCAGGGGTTTGACTACAGGTGACTAGCAGAATGCACTGACAGGGTTTGAAACATTAGATGCCTAGAATGCCTGGATCAGTGAGACTGGAGACTGTACACCAGGATTCTGGAAACTCTTCACATGAAGCCAGAGTTGAGAATTACCAGCTCGCACTTGCTCTCCATGGTTACAAATCCTCACCTGCCCTGAGTGTTCTCTTCATTAGCTGTGGCTGTCAACTGTTCCTTTGGAGTAGAAGGAAGAAAGCAATTTGAAGCTATCATGAGTGGCCTCTGGGAAAGAACCCATAGAAACATAGAAAGCTTTCAGAGGAGACCCAGCGGCGCAGAGCGGTAGTGGGATAACTTGATTTCTTCCATGGTTGCATAAGCCTCTTTAGCAACAGACAAGTCTGATGTCATCGAAAGTGTACTTAGAAAACTTTTGTTATTCAAATGTCATTGGGAAAAAAAATCAGACAACCACCAAAAGGGAGAAATATTTGCAAGCCATGTATCTGATTAGGGTCTGGTATTCAGAATATGCCAGCAACTATTGCCATTCAATAATGAAAACAGAAATAATGCAAGATGTACAAGAGGGTCTGGGAATTTGGCGCCATTGGTACAATGCTTGCTTGCCTTGCCTGCATGAAGGCCTGGGTTCAACACCCAGCACCAGCTATGGTGGCACACACATGCAATCCCAGCATGCAGGAAGCAGAGACAGGAGGGTCAGAAGTTTAAAGTTATCTTCAACTACAAAGAACTATGAGGTGAGTCTGGACTGCATGACAACAGATCTCTAGATCCATAGATCGATAGATCGATAGATAATTAGATAGATAGATAGATAGATAGATAGATAGATGAAATAAAAATAAGCAAGAGACTTAAACAGATATTTTTCTAAAATAGATGTATAAAAATATATCAGCTTTTTCTTCCAATTTCTCCATAGAACATACATATTAATACTTTGTTACCGTACTATTTTTTAATTTTATAAAATTTACTAACATTTTTGCTTCAATTTTTAAATTGCTCAAATTCAGAAAGCAATGGACCCCTGGGGCAGTTGGCTATTTAGGCAAGTCGTCCTAGATCTGTCCCCAGATTATGATCTGAGGCTTTGGCGATGGCTGATGGGTCTTTATTTTTTTGAGGAATGCTGGTAGCTGGAATGGGTCTGGACTGTCTAAAACATGACTTTGGCCCTCACTCATAGCAATGGTTTTAGTCATCCTTCCCAAAGAGATGATCAAGAGATTCTTCTGGTTTAGGAGCTAATGAAGCTGTTAATTGATAATTAGAGTATCAATTACAAGGTTAACTGGTAAGAACTGAGTTCATGCTAAGGAGTGGGCCAGACCAGGATACTTAACTTTAGGGGAGAAAGGTGGCCACTCTGCTGTAGTGGTGAGACTATGGCCAAGTGGTCTCTAAGGCTTTAGAAAACAACTGGGGTTTTGGGGGAACCTGGCCCTCCCAGCACTGTGGTCAGGAAACAACCTGAGGGGAACATGATTTTATCCATATGAGGACTTGGGCAAGCTCAGGACACAGAAACTGTGGGACGTGGACAAAATGAGTTACAACATCAAACATTGCCAAGCCTTGGGAAGCTTCTTTCAACTGTCAATTTGACACTATACTGGGCAAAAAGTCCCATGCAAAGTAGAGACTCACAGGGAACTAAGGAGATGCTAGTCAAAGAAAGGAAATTTCCAGTTTACAAGATGAGTAGTGCCCATCGAGGTGACTATAACTATAATGGTAATGCTTGTGTGAAATCTGAAGAAGATAGACTCTAATGTGAGTGTGTGTGTGTGTGTGTGTGTGTGTGTGTGTGTGTGTGTGTGTGTGTGGAGAGAGAGAGAGAGAGAGAGAGAGAGAGAGAGAGAGAGAGGAGAGAAAGAGCTGGCCATGGATGTGTCAATTAGCTTGATTGTGGTAAGCCCTTCACAAAATATGTGTATTGAAGAATCTTGTTCTATGCTGTCTTAGGGCTTCTGTTGCTGTGAAGAGACTCCATGACCACAGCAACTCTTATAAAGAAAAACATTTAATTGGGGTGGCTTACAATTTCAGAGGTTTAGTCCATTATCATGGTGGGACATGGCAGCATGCAGGCAGACATGGTGCTGGAGAAGGAGCTGAGAGTTCTACACCTTAATCCACAGGCAATAGGAAGTGAACTGTCACACTGAATGTAGTTTGAGCATAGAAGACCACCCCCATAGTGACACACTTCTTCCAACAAGGCCACACCTGCTCAAATAAAGCCACACCTCCTAATAGTGCCACTTCTTTTGGGGGCCATTTTCTTTCAAACCACCATACATGCCTTAAATAGATACAATTTGAATTTGCCAATTACATTTGGGGAAAACTATCGCATCTCTCCTACTTGATTATTTAGTCTTCTGGATCTGTTTCCAGTCCTCCCATTGACTGGCCTGGCCTGTGTTCTCCTCTCTATGTTTTGAGTAGGACTCCAGCCACTTTCTTCAATAATTCTGATTATTCACTTCAGCTTTGCCTCTTGTCGTCCCCAGTACCTACACTTCTTAGCTTATCATTTCTCCAAGAACCCTGTCCCCCAACTCCAAGCCCAACTTCATGTAGTTGAAGGAACTCTGCTACCATGCCCCAACACCCACTCGACTGGTGATGCTGACTGATGCCCTTCGCCAGCAGGGCACAGGGTCTTCATTTCCTGCTCTTTCTTCTTTTGTGTGTCCTACTTTGGATATATGTGTTTGGACATTCCACACTTGGCCACCGTACTGTGTCGGATTCCCCGTCAATCTGTATCTTACAGGATTAATGAAGGGATACAAAGTAGGTCTCTTCTCACATGCCAATTCTAACTGATTATCAATGGATGCAGCAAGTGTGGTGTTAAGAGGAACAGCAGTGGACGTTGGCATGTAATACTCAATTAGTCATGCCTGCCTCTGTGAAGATGTGTGTAGGGTTTTTTCTGTGCTGTGAATGAGAAATGCACCCCATAGGCATATGTATTGGAGGACTTGGTCTTCAGCTGGTGCTGAATGGGACCATCAGGAGGTGGCGTTTTGCTGGAGGGAGTATATCACTGGGGTGAGCCTTGAGGGTTTGCTAAACTGGCCTCATTTCCTGTTTTTCTCTGTGTCTTCTGTGTGCAATGGATTGCGATCATTGTGCTTCCTGAATGGCGGGCCAGGCTCATGCCCCTGCTCCCAGGCCTGCCCTCACAGGAATGGACTGGATTCCCTCTGAACTTTGAGCCAAAAATGAACCTTTTGTTGTTGTTGTTATTGTTGTTTTTCCAAAAGTTGCTTTTTGTTAGGGTGTTTTCTGATAACAGAAAAAGTCACCAGTACAGTCTGGCCTTTGAAGAGACAGCCATCTTTGGAGGGGTCATTTTTTTTTTTTTTTTTTCCGGGACTGATACATTGACTGCACATGCTTGCCACAAGTTTTTTCTTTCTTCTACCAAACCCTGGTATTTTAGCTATAATACTTCCTTGAGGGAATGCAATGGTCTTTTCCATTCATGTTTGCTATAGAACATCTGCAACTCAGAACTGGGGGGATTCTGGATTATGTCACTTCCCCAAAGAGAAAATAAACAACTGAAGTCTTCAGCAAAATCTATTTTGTGGCTGCAGCTTGGGAATTGAATGTAAAACTGAATATAAACTTTCTAATCTCATGTCTTCTAGGTTGAGCTGTCCCCCCTATTCAAGAGTTTAACTCCCCATGACTGTTGTTTACTTTTTGCTGTCTGTTGTCCCTAGTCACTGGTTTCTCAGGACAAAATGCTGCCTTGACTTTGAGTTGAAATACAAATGAATATCCAACTTGTGGGATCTCCACCCAGAGCTGAAGTCCCACTCACCGCAGAAAGTCAGGATCCCACTCACCAAATCCCATAACATGTCCGGCAGTACTTGATATTCCTATAACTGTCATTGCTGCCCAGAAGCACTGACGTAGCTTACCTTGTAATGGAAGAGAAAGAGTCCGCAGAACAGGCTGTAAAGATCCGCTGTGAGCAGAGAAAGGTTGACAGAGGTGGCACTGGTTTTCTTTATGACGACTGGCATAAAGCTGTAGAGACCAAACATGCAGGCACTGAAGCCAACATAGAGCAGTCCTGTGGAGCAAAGAGAAGACAGTGTCAGGACCTCCTCGGGGCATCCGCAGCATCCGGACTTGGAGGATAAGGGGATGGGGCACATCATCCATGACTCACTATAGGTAGTTTTTTTTCTTTCACTGCATTGTGTAGTGTTGAATACTGGCTGGCACATACATAAAACATAAAATGGGAACTTGAAATTTGTGCTTGGAAAATGCAGGCTCTGCTTCTTCCCACATAGCTGACATCCTGCTGTGCTTCCAGAAAAGCTTCTTGGTGCAATGTTCAGAGGCTTCCAAAGTCTGCTGCACACACTCACACACACACACACACACACACACACACACACACACACACACACACACACATATGCACACACACCTGAGGAGGTCAGAAGAAAGCATTAGACCCCCTAGAGCTGGAGTTGAAAGCCACTGTAAGCCTCCCAAATATGGGTAGAGAGAACCAAACTCTGGTCCTCTGCAAGAACAGCAAAGCTTCCTTAGTTGCTGAGCTGTCTCTCATGACCTGTCCATGCATTTCAAAACATTTTAACCTCTTAGCTTTTACTTGCAAAACAGGAGTGAATGAAATACACTATGTACTGCTCTCAAGAGTAAACTACACAGTTACTGAAATTAGAGACCTGAACTTAGACTACCAAACTGAAGACTTAAACTACATCTTTGAACAGACAATGGGATTGCTTCAAACAGGAAATCTGTTCATCATTTCTTTAAAATGAATAAATTCTGCTCATCTCTACACCGAAGAAATTGAGCATTATTCTTCTGTCAGCTTTCCTAGGCTGTTGTGGACTCTGGACATATCATTGGTAGTACTAATTCCATGAGTACAAGGTTTGGATTGTCTATAGCAGCATTCTATAGGTAACTGTAGGCTCCATCATTTCCCAGACATTGAGGTGATATGTATGCACAAAAAAAATCATGCTCATTTCTCTGCTTGTTCTCTGAAAGAACAAGACATGGTACAATTCTAGGGTTCTCTGGGTGTTATACAAGTGAATCTTGGATTAAATGTGTCTGGTGTGGAATGTGAACACTTTGCTTCCTTTCAATCCTGTGAGCTCAGGGGAACTTGGTCACAATCAGATGTCCAGTTCCTCTGATTAAGATCAGTGATTCCTCCATTGTTTTGCTCCTAAAGGACACAGAGCTTAGTCTATACTTCTGATCCTAAGTTTAAGAAAAGCTACATCAGATACATATGAAAGTCATTGTGAACACTAAGCAAACAGTACAACAGCCCCCTCTAGTGTGGTGGACATGCCCTCCACACCAAGCCAAATGATATCCCTACTTCTGGGTTCAGTAAGCTAGGAGACCTCATTGCATGTATACATTCTGCCAAAATCCTAATAGATGCTGTGTGACTCTCCATCAGAAATTTTAATTCCATAAAAATAGTCAATTTCCTTTCACTTGAGTTTTATGTTACTTACAATTGATTTTCCTTTTAATCAACTTACAAAAAAAATAACAAAGACTAGATAACCTATGACTAATGCACAAGAAGACCCGAGAATTAATTCAGAATTCCTTATGAAATCTGCCATTAACAGACTAGGAACAAGTTCTACCCTTTAGTTATTCTACTGAAGACAATCAAATTTGAGTAGAATATAGTCCAGACACACCAGAACACCAGAGCCTTTCCTTCTCTCTCTCCCTCCCTCCCTCCCTTCCTCCCTCCCTCCCTTCCTCCCTCCTTTCCTCCCTCCCTTCCTCTCTCTCTCCCTCCCTCCCTCCCTCTCTTCATCTCTCCCTCTCTCCCTCCCTCCCTTCCTTCCCTCATGTCTGTTATCTTGGGCATCATTGATTTAGCTTATAGGATAACTGTGGTGATATATTGTATACCCTAATAAAATTTGCCTGAGGATCAGAGAAGCAAAGGAAAAAGCCACAGCCACCACCTCTTACCTCACCAACCCTTCAGGCTGAAAAAGCCTCAGCCAATAGGCTTCTAGCCAGATGAGCTTCCTCAGCCAAAAAGACTTTAGTTCCTATCTCCTCAAGCCTTATATCCCTTTCTCCACCCAGTCATCACTTCCTGGGATTAAAGGCATGTGTGCTTCCCAAGTACTGGGATTAAAGGTGTGTGCTACCACTGCCTGGCTCTGTTTTCTCACCTAGACTGAGCCAATCTCATGTAGTCCAGGGTGGCTTTGAACTCATAGAGATCCAGACAGAACTCTGCCTCCCATGTGCTAGGATTAAAGGTGTGTGCCACCACTGCCTGGCCTCTGTTTAATCTAGTGGCTTGCTCTGTCCTCTGATCTTCAGACAAGTTTTGTCAGGGTACACAATATAGCACCACGTTGGTAAGATGTGGTGGCTTTGGCTTGTTCCTTTGTCTCTCTGATCTTCAGGCAAATTTTATTAGGGTACGCAATATATCGCCACAGAGAACTGTGCTAACAAGCTCTGGACTCCTAACCTTCTGTCTTCTTATCTGGTAAAACATCCATGGACACTGACCTGTGGGCTCTGATGGTTTGTGTTCACTCTCTTTTTCAACTAATTCTTCATTGAGAATCTAGTGTGCCCTGGGCCCTCTGCTTTGGGCTAGGAATCCGTCATCATGGGGGACAGACAATAAGCTCAGAGCTGTTCATGGTGAAGGAATGAAAAGGTTCCTCAGAGAGAATGGCCAGGGCTTGCTTTAGGAAGGATTCTCAGCTAAGTCTGCTCTGCCAAGGTGGCATTGACTTTGAATGTGAGGACCAGGAGGAGGTTAAAGGAGGCAGAGATGTCTTCACCTGAAAAGATTCTCAAGGAGGGGAAAGTTATGGCTTATTCCAGGGGCTTCCAGAGGCTGGAATTACTGAGTCGTAAGAATGAGGTAGAGAAATTAGGGGGGCTGTAGCTCATACGGTGCCCTGTGTGTCTTAGAAAGAAATTTCTATTTGCAACAGGAATGCCCTGAGCAGTTTGCACCAGTGACCTAGCACAATCTGATCCACATTTTGAAAAGATGACTTTGGCTACTCTTTGGAGGAGGAAGGGAATGGGGACAGCACAGGAAGGGAGTTGTGAGGAGAGTGGCATCTGTGCCCAGGAAGGAAAGGCGCATGGTTCACTTGGGGAGAAAAAGGGAAGAAGTGCCTGGGTCTGTGAATACTGAGTCAACCTGTTCACGGCTGGAAGGTAAGCAGTGGGGGCGGGAGGGAGGGCATCAAGGAAGAGACTTGCTCTCTACTGTAGCAAATGAGTGAATTGTGGTGCCATTGTACTGAGACGGAGAGAGCCATGAGAAGATGGGGTTTTCAGAGAACGTGAAACAACACTTGAACGTGTTGGTTTAGATAATTATTCATCATTCATGTGGATCTGCCTAGTAGAGTTCTGGATGGGTCGTGAGCAGGCTCAGAGAAGAGGCAGGACTTTAAAAATCACATTTACTGACCTAAGTAGAGTAAGAACTCAGCTGTATAATAGACCATCACCCTAGTAATCTGGTCAACTCAGGATAGTTCCAGTTTAAACATTCTTCCTATATCTCACAAAGCTGCTGAAGTTAAATGTGGGTGAACTACACCATCTTAGCTGATGGCTTCTACTGAGCCAGTCAGGGCTTTTGTGTGTGGATACCCTGATTTGTGAGTGAAGCACAGTCAGATAACTGCATGATTAGACAGAGGGAGAATGGAGTACTGCCACATCTTGCCCTTCTGCTGTTCTGAGGTAGACATTAGGTAGTTAATGGACATTAGCAGTTCACCTCAAGACCCAATTTGCTGTCCGTGGAGAGTTTCCAATCATTAGACACGATCAAACAAATGAACTATTTTGGCTAGCAAATACATCATGATTATATTAAGTACATCTATAGGCAGAGCATGTATGTAACCAGTTCACATTTGCAATGTATTTTCTCACTAAGTTTAGAGTTTGGTTTCTCTTGTACTCATGCACTGAAGAGATTTAATGTGGAGAAACTGAAAATAACACTACTGGCTAAATTGATGGGGTCTTTACTATGTGTCATGGGTAATATATGCATTAGCTATTCTTAAAAGCAATGCAAAAGAATTTCTGTTGCTATTGTAGATAGGAGATGGATTTATTGATTTTTTTTTGATCAAGAAACACAGCCCATACCAGGTAGAGCAGAGGAAATTTAACAGAGCATATGCTACAAACATATTTGAATAGGTGACAGGGGAAATAGGGGTGGAGAAGAAACTAGAGACTTGTAATAACTGTAAATTATACCCCATGATGTAGAGAAATAAAGGCAGAAGTTGTATTACCTAAGGACAGAAACTAGGGAAGTATCACAGAGAAGACCACAAGGGATTCAGCTGTTTCTGGAGACCTGACCACAAATAGTATGGAATAAGGAAAAACACCCACTTCCTTTCTTCTTCTCTTTGCCTCTCATCACCCTCTACTTCCTCTCATTGGCCAAACCTGCCCAGCCTGGGAAGGATCATTTGTATGTGCAGAACAGGGGGGTAGGAAAAACATTGATCTGTAAGAAACAGGCCAAGGACCCTTCCCTTAGCTTTCATGGGTAGTCTGAGTTCTGTAAATACATGCCACTAATGTCTAAGGCTGAGTTACTCTGAAGATAAAGAGATAAGGGACATTCTGTTTGACAAATGACCATTCCATTTTGTGTATGTGTATACATTGTGCACATAGTGGGTGCCTGTTTGTGATACATGATTTTATCTCCTCTTTTCCTTTGAGGTCCTACTGGTGTTCTATCATCCCTTTGTATAAACTAGACTAAGACTTTTTATTAATAATAGCAAGATACAATGATTTCTCAGAATGTATATACATACACACTATGGGCCAAATATATCAAGAGCATTTGGCTATCTGGATTTGCTAAGATAATGCAAATTTGTTCTATCACAGGAAACTGAAAGCTTGGTCAAGTCATCTCAGAAATGTAGGCGTAAGTTTCAGCCTCATACATTCTTTTGTGTGCCTTTGTGTACAATTCTCTCTCTCTCTCTCTCTCTCTCTCTCTCTCTCTCTCTCTCTCTCTCTCTCTCTCTGTGTGTGTGTGTGTGTGTGTGTGTGTGTGTGTGTGTGTGTGTAGATCAAAGATCAATATCGAGTGTTTTTTCAATCATTCTTCCATTGATTCTGAGACAGGAAGTCTTGAGGAACTCAGAGCTCACCATTTAACTAGACTAGCTGGGCAATAAGGCCTGGGAACTACTTGTCTCCGCCTCCCCGGTGCTGACATTACAGATGCACTCCACCAGGCCTGGTTTTTTACCTGAGTTCTGGGGATCTGACTTCAGGTCCTCACACTTTTCAGCCATCACTTTGCCCGCACATCTCCCCAGCACTCCTCAGTGCATTCTTAAGGAACCTTCAGAAGTTCCCTGCTCTGTGACCACATGATTCCGTTGCCAGGTAAGGTAACAAAACAGTCATCAGCTGTCACATCAAAAGTGAAAAGGCACCTCCATGTAAGCGAGCCTATTTCTACTGACTCCCAGAACTCCTTTCCTCCACATTTGACTTTCCCATCAGCTTACATTGGTTCATACACCCATTAACACAGAATGGCACATGAGATAAAGGGACTATTTAAGTTGTTTACTAGATTTCTGGCAGTGGGCCTAAGGTTCCTGCTCTGGGGGAGGACAGTTTGGCTGTATTGAGTCCTATGTTTTACTCGAGTTTACTGATCAGATAATCACAAGCAGTCTTTCTGCTCAGTAGAGTAGAACAAAGGAATAGAAACAATGATAACCATTATCCTCTTGCTTTTAATCACTCTTATCTTGAAATTAGTCCACACACTGTACAACAACAATAATCCATTAAGAATAATCTTCATATCCAGAAAAGAGAAAGCATTTCTTTTTCTGCTTTTTCTGTAGCGGGGGAAATACTCTCTGCGTTGATAACTTAGGATAACCCAGAGATTCTGTGAGGTATATTAGAATTGTAGACAGAGAGGGGTGGGGTGGGGTACTCACTGACGGATCATGGTAAATGAGGATAGTCTTGGATTCTGTGCTCCCCAGCCCCATCCTGTGTGTTACTGGGAACTGATCTTGGGTCCTTGGACATACCAGGCAAAGACTCTACCTACAGACTATATTCCAGCCACCCCGGGAGTCTGTTCTCTTAATCAGCAATATGTGCTCTTCTCCAGGGCACAGCCATGAAGGGCAGGGCTCTTGATTCACTCCTGGCTGACCTCCTGAAGTATGTGGGGGAAACATAACAGGATGTTGACCTCCTCCAATGTCTCCCTGGTCCACGAACTTCAGTGGCTGCTCTGCCATTTCTCAGTTACCCAGAAGACTGTGCAACATCATCTCAAGCCTCTGCTCTTGTCCCCCTGCTTCCCTTTGGTCTGATCATTAGGACAGAGACCCATCTTTTCTGCTGTCGTTCACTCATCTGCTCATTCGATGATCATGGGTTTACTGAATGTCACGTGTCTGTAACTGAGCTGCACAACTAGACCCTGTACTCGATCCAAGCGAGCTAACAAGGACAAAGGTGGCTGTGGTATAAAATTTCCAATTCAAGTGCCCAGGTGCTTCAGAAAAGGGGAAAAATGAATATTTGATCCTATATCTAGGCCATTTGGGCCTCATTTCCTACCAGGAATTAATTTGATGGCCCTGTGATATGTTCCTTTTACACAGTCTTCATCATCTTGAGCTGCAGGGGACTGACATCTTAATGGCAATATGAGAGCTCAGGATAAAACTACCTTGTGACGGCACATTTAACTAACACCGAATTATAACAAAGTCTCAGCGGACATGCACAGGACATCTATGTAATTAGAGGACAAATTCCTTTTGATTACGGCCATTACCATCAATATCGAATTAATTTACCCTCACAGACCACTGTATGTGAAGTGCTGTGAAGCATTAGTCATGTTTAAGAGCCCTGGCTTCTAGAGCTGCAAAGGCACACACTTCCGGCCCCTGCAGCTGGTTTCTCTCCCCTTCCTCCTCTTCCCCCTCCCTCCTCTCTATTGATTTTCACTTAATTATGACATTCCCTATGCATACTTAAGAAACAAACAAACGAAGGACTCTGAAACAAACACAGGGGTAGGTTAGCCCTTGTTTGAAGTCACCGAGTTAACCCATCTGGTCATACAAACGCCTGCCACTCAGTCAGCCACCAGGGGGCATAGTACTGGTAGTATTATGGTAGTATGCTGTGGGCTGGGAGTGGATACAGTGCTGCAGAAGAATATAAGTCACTGATGTCTTTCTCAGTGGAAAGAAAATATACTGAAGCTATCATGTATATCAAAGCTATATATACTGGGGGTGGTGGGGCAGCACCTGTATCCCCGCAACCCCGATTTACATTTATTCTGCACACATATTACATGTACTACCCCACCTGGCCTAAACTGGTGGTTCTCAACCTTCTTAATGCGAAGACCCTTTAATATAGTTCCTCATGTGTTGTTGTTGTTTTTTGGCTCTTTTGGGGGGGCACCACCCAGCTCCCAAATAAATCACACACGGAAGCTTATTCTTACTTATGAATACCTGGCCTTAGCTTGGCACAGTTTCTAGCCAGCTTTTCTTTACTAACTATCCCATCTACATTTTACCACTGGCTTTTCCCATTCTCTTACTTCTGTAAATCTTACTCTTACTCCGTGGCTTGCTGTGTAGCTGGGTGGGTGGCCCCTGGAGTCCTCCTCCTTCTCTGGCTCCTAGATCTTAGACCTCTCCTCCCAGTTTTCACCTTCTATATATACTCTTCTGCCTGCCAGCCCTACCTATCCTTTCTCCTGCCTTGCTATTGGCCAGTTCTTTACTAGACCATCAGGTGTTTTACACAGGCACAATAACACAGATTCACAGAGTTAAACAAATACAATATAAACAAAAGTAACACACCTTAATATTCTACTACACTCATATTGTGGGAACCCCAACCATAAAATTATATTGTTGCTACTTTGTAACTATACTTTTGCTTCTGTTATGAATTGTAATGCAAATATCTGATATGTGACCCCAAAGGAGTCCCGACCATATGTTAAGAACCAGTGGCCTAAACTCAAGCCATTTTCACTCCTGGTATCTGTTGCTTCATGATAGACTTTATGAGTGCATTAAGGGGCATTTCATCCTAGGGCTTGCAGAATGATCATCCATTAGAGTATCATCACGGATCTGAAAGCCTTACCCTAAAATTTTTTAGAAGAAAGTGAGTTTAGAAACAAGTGGGATCTAAGATGCCCTAGATGTCTCTGGAGTAGTCCAATGCCTGTCTAGTATTTCCAAGGCCAGTTAGAGATCAATTAACAATTTCTTAAGTATAAGTGCTCCCTTCTGAAAAGGTTCCAAAGAGCCCAGGATGCCCATTATGTTGTTTCTTTTCATGCCTTTTGCTAAGTTCAGTTTTCCCCTTTCCCAAAGTGCTGCTCCTTAATGATCACATCAATTCTGTATTTCTTGACTGGAGCAAATTGCTCTCATTTCTGTACCACTACTGCCTTGGGCCTTTCTTTTCTGGTTGGTCTTTAACCTAATAACACACTTTTGTGTCTCCCATAAAACACCTTGACAGTGTTAACTGGCAGAAGCTCACGCAGGAAACCAGATGATTCAGGAAATCCAGTCCCTTTATTGTGTGAAGGACTTCCCACCGTGGCAAGGTAATTTCATCTCCTTTTGTCCCCTGCCATTCTAAATCCCTTCCTTGTCTGCCCCATCCATCCCTTTTCGCACAACTTTTCAAGCACATTTCTCAGATTTACTAATAAAAACGTAATCTTAAATGAGCGGATGCCTACCTATTTGCCAATCCCAGGGCACCTTTAGCAGCTCCTTGTGTTCCATGATGGCTCTGTAGAGTCAAAGGAAATGGGCAAGATGATCACACACATTGCTTCCTTTTTCTGCCATTTACCATATTTACACAAATATTAACACAACCAATTAAACTTCAGAAATAAATTGGCCTCTGCAGAGTAGCCTTGGTCTCTCCCTGAAAGGTCTTGCTACATGGGTCCAGCAGCAATGAAGGTCTGGTGGAGTCTAAACCACACTGACCTCAACCAAACAGGCATTTTGTTCTTTTGGTTTCTTTTTGTTCATGTGCTTTGGGGGAAGCACATGGTAAGGTTCAGAAAACTCTATGCTTACAGGCTTCATCAATTTGCCCACTGAACAGTCAATGCAGCAGTGATTCTCAGAATTGCGTGTCTCATAGCCATCTAGAGAGTGTTAAACGACTGTCTCTGGAACCTCCTTCCTAGACCTTCAGATTCAGGTGAACTTGGAGGGGCTCAGGGAGGCGCTTTGCTGATAACTAGTTCTCGGGTGATGGCAGTGTTGTGGTCCAAGGACTGAAGTGGAGCAGGAGGTGAGGGTGGTACCATTTCAACCATTCTACCAGCAAGGGTGTGGGTCCAGCACACCCTTAGCTTATTTAATTCACCAAACAAAGTCCTTATCTTGGGAGCAGTGCCTCCCTTCAGAGCTCCACTAGCCATGACATACTGTAACCAAGAAAAAGAGCAGATCTCTGGATATATATTTTAGATGCAAGAATATGAATAATAATGCATAAAATGAACCATCCATCTACAAAATGTCAGCCATGAGTAGTTTACCTAAATAATCCTTTCTTCCTCTCACGAAGATGAATCAACAAATTTAGGAGCTTCAAAATGCCACTACACTTTCAAAATGAACCCCAAATAAACCCCCAGTTTTCCCATTTCTATGTACCTCCTGGAGAGTTTGCAGTACTTCAGGACACTGAGGTTTTTGAGGAATGTGCTGGAAAGAACCTATCTATATACATAATGTTTCAGGTGATGCCAAAATATTCTCAAGTAATTTCTGACAACAACAAACCTATACAGTTACAAAGTGTTTGTTTTGTAGAAAGAAATGCCATGGAATAGCAATTGCTTATTTGGTGAAACTGGACCGCTCCTCATATGGATTGAAATGTGTGTTCTTTATTGGTAGGGAATTATGCTTCATCTACAACAAATTTTGAGAGACCAGATAATGCATTAAGGGATAATTTTTGCTCCAGTTTTGGAATTATTGACAATCTGGTGTATTTTGCTTTATGGCATTTAGTAAATCTCAGTGTTCTGTCCTATCTTTTTAAGGAAAAGAGAATGCTAAATTCTGATACTTAATTTGAAATGTGGTTCATTCTTGTGAACTCATGGGCAACAAAGAACACCTATCAAAAGCAATTTTATTTTTAAAATGGTTTGTCATTTATGTATATGAGTGTTTTGCCTGCGTGTATGTCTCTGCACTACATGTATGCCTGGTGTCCAAGGAGATCAGAAGAGGGTATACTGGGACTGGAGTTATGGATGGTCATGAGCCTTCATATCGATGCTGAGAATGGAACCTAGGTCCTCTGGAAGAGCAGCCAGTGCTTTTAACTGCTGAGCCATCTCTCCCATAAAAGAGCAATTTTAAAGTAGACATTTCCTAACAACTATCACTAATAAACAAAACATATCCCCCTTTGAAGTGCATCATATCATGACCTTTGTGATTTGCTTATAACTTCTTTATGAATTATAACCCAGTCACTGGGAGAATGAATGTACTTCTGATTCTTCAAAATCATCTTCAAAATCTATTAAATATTTTGTAATAATTTAGAATACACTTACTTTGTCTGGAAGTAATTTACTAATGAGGATATAGCTTATAGATTGAATAAGATCTTTGTGCAGGAGTTTGATGATTGCTTTTCTGCCTTGGTTTTTACACTCTCAGGGCAAAAACTATAAAAATAAAACCCACTCATTTATAGCCTATGTTTCTTGTTATTTTTACTCACAATTGAATTCCACTGAAAAATGCACCAAAGAGACCAATCATTCCCAGGAACTCCACTCTGCTCAGAGTTCGGATGATGGATTCTTCCCAGACGTTAGAGATGCCATACAGCGTGGCTCCTCCCAAGACGAGGAGGTCCCCTACCAGCTTATTTTCCCCTAGGAAACAAAGAAAGCAGATGGAGCCTCAGGAAAATCTTCTTAACACGAACCTGGCACCAGAAAACTGAGCCTCTCTTGTCTACTTTCTTCTGACACTTTTCTAAGAAGCTCAGCAATTTCCAACTGAAATCAAGCAAAGGTTTTAAAAATATGTTTTCTCGACATGCTAGGATATAAAAAGCTACCTATCTTAATGGAACTGGAAGTTTTCCTGAAGAATGAAGTTTTCTTCAGTTTAATTCTCTCCAAAGGCCATGTCTCTGTCCAGGGATATGTCTGCAAATACGTGCTAATGTGTACATGTATTATTTCTGTTTAAGGACATTTTCCAACTGTTTGATGAAACTGTCATAAACCCAACAAAGTGAATTTCTACCCTCTTCAATGTACAGAGAGAAGGTATAACAGCAGTCAATACTATGTTTTGACCATTGGCAAAATGGGTAAATACTTAGACAAGGGACCAATGGGATTTGTGAGATTCCAACTTCTCTGACACAGTTTAATATATAATTCACCATAATATTAATATTTTCTTTTTCAAACAAAAACCACATTTGTTTTAAACTCAGTTTGGATTGGTTCTCGTTTATGTCCAATTTTTAATAAATTCTTTATCCCATAACAAAGTAAAGTCATCCCACTTCAGGTAGTGTGGATGGAAGCCATGGAAAGAGAGAATGAAGATAAGCAGTGGGAGCTCCCTGACTGGAGGACTCTCTCTCTCTAGTGGCTTCTGACTCGGTGCATCAGGTGCCAGGCAGCTGTCAGCTCCGCAGACGCACATCTCTGAGAGAGAAGTGAAGAATGTGAAGGATGTCCACGACAACAGCCCTCTTCAGGAAGAGACTCACCTTTGGAATCTTTGGATTCTGAGAGTATCTGAACAACCCCAAAACTGTAGAAGAAGACAGTCACTATTCTTTGGAGAGCATGGAACATTCTCTAGGTAGAGAGTTCACATGAATCAAAGCAGGGCTCAGATGGACTTCTGTATTTGGTCACCTCAGAATATATCTCTATGCTAAGTGGCATCACCCTTTTCCAGGCCAAGTCCCACTCCTGGTGACAGGGAGAGGGAAGAGAGTGGAAGAGACCCTGAAAGACAATGGCTTGTTGGAGTTACTCTCAAGGAAATGAAGTTGAGGATGTGATTCTGGGAGGGCTGCGAGACTTCCTTGAGTCCATGAGTTGCTACCAAGACTCTTCAGCAGATGAGCAGAAAACTTAATGAAGCCCTGATGAGAAAACAGACCTGGGGGAAGGCGCCCTGGGCACTTCTGTTAGAGAACTGAAGACTACCATAATAGGGAAATTTTTAGCAACTGATTAATCTTCATGTGTCAGCTACTCAAGTATGAAAATCTTTGAATTTGACATAGTCAATACTCTAAATTCTAAAGCACATCTTTTAGTCTCTTTTCATTCAGGAAACATTTCAGACTCTTGTAATGACATTAAATCATTGTTATGAATATCAATTATTGTTGTACTAGTAAAATATAGAAGGGCTTCTTAATAGAAGTCTTGGTTAATATAATTAATTTTCTATGAATAGATTCTTGAAAATGAAGTCATAATGAAGTATTTTTATAAAAATTAGAGAAACGTAAGTCTGTCTTTTAAAAGTCCTAAAAAGTGGACGCTGTTTTTGGTGAATAGTCTTGTACAGTTATTTATCTTTTAAGACTTATTTTTATCCACGTGCACACATGGACATCATATCTCCAGTAGCTGTTGTTGGATGCCAGATGTGAGTTCTGGAAACCAGAATCAGGTCCTCTGGAAGAGCAACAAGCACCATTAACTCTAGCGTCCCATCCATCCATCTTTTTACAGTTATAGGCTAGTCTGTAAATTGACCTAGTAAAGGAAATGTAGTTATCAGTACTTTAAATTTTCATTTATTTTGTGATAATTTTTGTTAATAATATAATTGCACGTAATTTCCAGTTCAGAAATATTTTCAAAGTTATCTTGACAATATATTACATAGTATTTATTAAGACTTACCAGTAATTCTATTAATCAGTTTTTAAGTTACTTTAAAGTGGATATATGTGCATATAGCATGGGCTACAGTTTGAACTTAAATATCCCTGAAAGCCCACATGTGAAGACTTGGTTCCTATCATACAATGCTATTGAAAAGGAGTCGAACTACTAGGAGGCAGGGCCTGAAGACATAAGTTGTCTTTTGGAGCATGGCCCTAAACAGGATATTGACACATAGTCCCTTCTTCTTCTCTTTCTGTTTCTTGCATGCCATGAAGGGAACAGTTCCCCTCTGCTGTATACTTCCACCATCATGTACTATGCTATACCATTCTAAATTCCCAGAGTATCTAAATGAATTATCTGACTGAAAATGTCTTGACCCCTCATATGTCAATATTTTGAATGGTGATAGCCTTCATTTTAGGTAGAGCTGAGTAAATCACACCTGTAATGAACTGCAGGGCCTTCCTTTATTTTGTTTTGTTTTCTTTATCTTAAAATGTTATTATTGCAAGAATAAAATAGTACATAGAAAATGTTAGCATACCACGTCACACAACTTGTTCATAAATGGTGTGGTTTTTTTTTTTTTTTTTTTTTTTTTTTGGTTTTTCGAGACAGGGTTTCTCTGGAACTCACTTTGTAGAGCAGGCTGGCCTCGAACTCACAGAGATCCGCCTGACTCTGCCTCCCGAGTGCTGGGATTAAAGGTGCGCGCCACCACCGCCCGGCCATAAATGGTGTTTTTAAAGGGCCAATCTTCATTCTATTTGAATAACTGTCTCTATGGGTGGGACATTTCTCATTCTGGAATGCCCATGGTTTCTAGTCATAATTGTTTTTCAAGAATTAACTTTCCACATTAGATTTTTGTTTCAACACATCTTTTTTAGATTTGTTATGTGTAGTACTAGGGGAAGGTTATCTAAGAATCAAGAGGTACCATGAGTTTAAGAATGAGCTTTATTATTGGGACTATTGAGAGACTGCTAGTTCCTTTGATGAAAATATACCCATCCCCTTAAATACACTGAAGTTTGAAATATAGAACTAACTGTCTTGTTTTCATGGAACTCAATGTTAACTTTAAAATCTCACATCTGAGCAATCCTCCATCCTGGGCAATCCAGGACTCCTTTACTCTAATTAACTGTTTTAAAGCACCTTCATCTTTCCCAAACAAGATGCAATTAGAGAAAAATAAGACCTGAGTTGAATAGAAAAAAATACTGTAAAGATTTTTCCATCTGAGCCACACCATTTGCTTTGATTTTTGAGGATGACACATAAAAATTTTTTCAGAGTTATTAGGATAAAATGAGGTAATGTATGAGAAAGTCCTTGGCAGCATGGCATATTCAACAAAATGTCACTTTTATTTGATTGTATTGAGCTGTCTGGCTCTTTATAAGTATTTTCTTTTTCTTGAAATAAATGTAAAGTTATAGCGAATAATAAATTGTTGTCATGGGTAACCAACATCATCACAAATGGCCCGAAAGATGCAATAAACATGGTAGAAAGGGGCTATTTTTAGGAGAAGCAATATATTTTCTAATAGGGCATGATTTTAATTTTTTGTCTTCATCTTATAACTTTCATCCTTTCTATTTATATCCACAAGTTAGAAAAGTAGAGGCCATAGTGATGTATCTCTGGGGCTTTATGGAACCATGTTTACACATTCCAATGTTTCCAATATTCTTAGAGTCTACTAGATGACTCCCACCACTCACATCAGCAAAAGTATAGATGGCCATTCAGAGAGGCCTGTGATGCAGATGGGAAACTAAATGATACAAGGAGAGTTTACATCTCAGGTCCACTGTTTTTATTGACCAACTTGGAAAAGAAATCTACTTTTGACGAGCTTAATGGTGTAGAAAGTTTTTATGGTGGGTGACTAGCTGTGGGTGTCCAATTGAGGTCTCTCATGCTAGGAGATTGGGTGTGTTCCTTTGACCCCTGTCTGCAGTAGGCAGACATGATGGACAGGTGTCATCAGCAGCATTTATTGTCACTTCCTTCTGGGCCTGGACCTATTTTTTATATGCAATTGCTGATATCATCTGAGAAGGTTCCTTCACCCAGGCTTAAATCAAGGAGGAGTTCCTGGTGTGCAGAAGAAGAAACATGCCAACAAAGAAAATTAAAACAATTAACTATAATGAGGCCAAAGTAATTGTGAGTGGGCTAAAATCAATGTGTTTGGGGACAGAACTGTCAAAATCTTAAGCTAAGAGAAACAGGATTTAAGCAATATAATAAAAAATAAAGTCAGTCATTCTCTTTTCCTTTGAAAAGCTCTTGATATGATTGTAATAATTTATATGAGTCAAATGATTCATTAAAGTTCTTATGAGTACCCAAGATATTACAGAAACGCCTGGTGGTCTTGGCTGATTAATGCAATTGAACCCACTGTATTACAAAGGTAGAAACAAGCGAGATAATTTTTAGCAATAATGCATACAAATTTTAAAGTTATACTGATTCCAAAAGCAATATGTTTTTTTAAAAGTAGCTTATATAATAGTTGAGATTTCTGCCAAAGTTAATATTTTATAGAGATAAAGTATGTGTAGTCAATGAGCCCTTGAATTTCATATTTGGACTGGCCTTAAGGCATTGATCCATACATTTGGGCACCATTTTAGTAGCACAGAGTGTGCTGTGCAGTGATAAGATTTAATTCCATTAACATGGGTGCTTTGCATGTCACAAAAGGCAATGCTGTGAGCCTCACACAGGTCCACAGGTGTTTTATCCATGTCTTCATTTCAATGAGAAGTGACAAGTGACCACTTAAGGAAAGATTTAAATGGATTTGTTGACTTTTTCTTAAATAGTGCTGTTTTCCTACCATTTCAGAGCCCGAAGACATTTTTTACAGAATTAATGTATACAATCTAGTAAATCAGTTCAAAGTTAACTCACTATTGGAGTTCAAAACACTCTTGAGTTATCAGAACAGCTGCCTTGATTGCCTGTGGAATAAGATGATGACTAGAATGGACAGCTAGGGTCAACAGCCAAGTTTTCTAACTAAGGGTACATACTTCTGTTTCATATGTGTTTATACAGTGCCAAGAAAGCTCAGAAAATTGTGGCCAAACTGTGACATTACATCAGACAGAATGCTCTCTGTTGAGTTCTGAAGAGATTCCTGTCAAGACCACTGGCTGTGTATGAGGCACACAACCAGATCTTTGATACACTATCTGTCAATGACCAATGGAATGGAACAAGTTTTTTACAAGGGAGAATTGGGGGGATGGTAAGTATATATTTCTAAGCCATTTGCTGAAGTAGGGACTCATAACCTTCCAGCTGTAGATTCAGGAGACTGAGGATGTCTCCTTTTTATTCTGTGTTGTAGCTTTAGCTGTTAGCAATGTGGGAGGAAGAAAGCCTGCCTTAAATGTTGGAAGCTCAAGAGTCTAGCCACTCCCATCTCAGCACTATGATCTTGGATAACTCATTTGGTTTTCCCAGAACTTGATGTTCCCTCATGTCAAATATAAAGGAGGCTGAAGAAGGTCCTTAGTTTTTGCTACAAACTTCTATGATGCAATATAAGTGACGTCATTTCAGAAATTTCATGTAGCTTTGTCTCATAAAGCAAACTGCCCCAATTTTGAGTCTTCATTATCCAACTTGTTAGAAGAAAGAGTAATTCCAATAACTTTTGAAGGTGAGTACTTTCTACTCCACTTCTGATGACAGCAAAGGGGGGTTGCCTTTTTTTTCTCTTCTCAAACTCTTTCTATATCACAATAATTGAAACCTATTGAGAAGTCCTTCCAGAAACCACTGGGATCAGGATTTCCCAACAAGATTCACAGGTATTTGCTGACTTAATCACAAAATTCTGTCTAAGAACTCTCTAAGCTGTGATCAGTTTAACAACTCCTTCCATCAAAACAAATAAACAACAACAACCACAACAAAAAACCCATGAATAACCATGCATGAGATGGGACCCAGCCTCTGGAAATGACCCAACCTACTCTGGTCTTCAGATCATAAATAGCTATTCTCTGGCCTGTAAACCAATGATCACCCAGTAGTTAGGAAGTTTGGTCTTTCCCTGACCTGACAGAGTTGGGGCTGGGTGAGGAGCAGTGGGGAAGGCTTTGAGGCTGAGTTGCTAATTGACTTGTCAATACTGCCTTAGCTCTTCTAGGCCAGCTGCTCTGACTTTTAAAGTTTCTGTCACATAGATGGTCCCCTCATTTTAAAAAATTGTGTGAATGTCTCTGAATTTTACATCTTATATTCACCCAGGACATATGTATCAAGGACCTTATACGTGCTACTATTTTGGGTGTGGGACAAAAACATGAACATGAACACAAACTCTGCCACAGGAAGAACCCGGCTCGTAGGACTCCTATTTCCAACCATAGACATTCCAGGTCTCCTTGTGATCCCCCTCATAGAGGTGAGAGACCTAGTGACCACCCTGAGACTCACCTGCTCCCTGGTGCCTTCCCACGAGCACGTCAGCTCCCACCATGCAGCCCATGCCCAGGATGCAGACCACGATGCCGATGAAATGCACAGCCTTGTACCGGATCAGCAGGAAGAACCAGGAGAGCAAAATCACCACCGGGATCACAAAGCAGTCCAGGAGCTATTGGGAGCATCAGGGGAAACAACAGGGAGAGGTTCAGGGATGTTAGGACACAGAAAAAAAGTTCCACGCTGCCAGAAAGTCCTTCCCAGAACAGAATCTTCATGTAGAGCCAGAGCCGAGGCAGTTGAAGCTCCCTCTGACCTGGACACAAGACAGCTTTGTTTCTCACTTAATCGCAAACATCCTGAGGCTTGAAGAAAGGGAAGATGACAAATGGATAAGACTGCACGGGTGTGAAGGTTTTCTCACGCTCTTCTGTGTCCAGCCAGTTTCACTGTCCATCTTCTTCAGGGCCTTGAAAACTTTCCTAGGAATACCTGGGCCATGGGGAGGATACCTTGAGTCATTTTACATGGTCCCACCACTTCAGGAGTAGACATGAGAATGAAAGGTGAGGACACAGAGGTCTTACAATGTTTCATAAATTCATAGAACTTAGAAAATGTGCACTTACTATTTCTTAGGCAATTATCTCACTTCTAATACTGAAGTCTCTAATCTAATAGTTGTTGTTTTCATTTTAATATTACCATACATATTACTGTGACAAATAGTGTGACACAAGTCCCTGAGAGCCAGAGCAATTGTCCTAGGAGTGGGGAGTAAAGAGAGAATGTGGTGATATGAGAGGAGCGAGAGGAATCCTGTGCAGAGAATCAGAGCCCTTACTCTGTGGCATTGGGCTACCATGTAATTGGGGGGCCTCTAGTTCCTACTAGAAAGACAATACACCATCAACCCACCATGGTGATCAGGGCAAAGTTCAAAGTTAATGTGTCGGGAAGTATTTTGTAGTTGGGTATGGTGCCTCACACCTGTAATCCAAGTACAGGGGAAACTGAGGCAAACAGATCATGAGTGTGAGGCCAACCTGAGCTACATAGTGAGACCATGCCTGAAAAACAGAGGAAAGGGCTGAAGGTGTAGCTCAACAGGTATATTGCTTGCCCAGCATGCACAGAGCCCTGGGTTCAAGCTGCAGCACAGCATGAAACAGGTGCATGGCAGTGTGTGCTTCTGAGCCCAGAGGAAGAAGGACCAGAAGGTCAAGGTCATGCTTAGATACACACTGAGTTAGAGGTCAGCCTGAGCTGTATGAGGTTTTATCTCAACAATAACAAAATTGGTTTAATAAAAGGCTATATAAAAACTGAAGTAAAAACAAGGTGTTTTAAAATACGAGTCCCCCAAAGACTGTTTATAAGCCTCCAAATGCTTGAGGCTCCCTGAACTTGGATCTGTCCCTATCGACTTTGGTAAATCGTCTAAAAAATCACTGTCCAATGTTGGGTCTCTCCATTAGGCAAACCAACGTCCCACAGGACTTCAACTTCCATGTTCTGAATGAAAGTTGTGTGATTTGCCATACTGCTTGTACAAATCCTTGCTAGAATCCTAAGCACTTGACTTTCATCCTGCAGCAGCCAGCAAGGGCAGGGATTTCTAATGTTCCTCCACTCCTACGGCCTACCTCCCTTGATCAGTACAGTCTGATCAATCACTTCCATCTTGTAAATGTCTGCCATCCATATTCATGCCAGCCTCTCCCACTTGTACCATCAAGACTGATCTAGCATCCCCTCCTACTGGGAACAATCCCTTCCTGCTAGCCCCAGAGGCTTCTTTCCTGGAGCCCCTCACCTCCTTCTGAAACGGTTCACTCTAATTCTTGAGCTTCTTGTCTCCCTTCCCTTTAGCATGTATTTTATATGTTACCTCCTCAAGAAAGCCTCTCATCTCTGAAGATGCAGTCAGGTCCCCTTTGGTATTTTCCTTGCACATTTTTCTCCTTGATAGTTCCCGTTGCAACCCAACTTAATCAATATATCATCTTTGGCATAATGTCAGACTTATTCACTTGTCTGTTTCCAGCATGCAGAATGCTGCCAGGCCCATGAAAAGTACCTGTTAATAGTTCCTGAACAAGAACACAAGGATTTCTAATGATCTGAAGCATCAAAATCCAGCCTCTGAGATCAGTAAAGTCTGGGAAAGGTTTGGGTGTTCACATGTTATTTCTGAATGTCAGACTAGTCAGTTGGCAGCATAAACAGCACTCAGAATCCCGGCTCTCCCCAAAGATGTTTGTGATGGAAACAAACTCTCATGCATCTCTATGGATTGGACTTCTCTCTTGTCAAATGACAATGGCACTCAGGGTACCCAATCATCTCCAGGGTTGCTGAAAGATAACAAAGTCACAGTAAGAAAGCATCATGTGACTGTCATGCCCAGTAATATCACGAGGACTGGGGGTTGGTCTCAGGGGCACAGGACTCCCGGAGGGGCTCTATATAAGCAGTGGGAGTTGGTGGGATTGCTTTAGAGCGGCCCACGGTTGCTCCCTGCGCAGTTAAGCTGACAATGTAAGTTAATGACCTATCTGATGGGGTTGTATGCAGGATGTTAGATTTTACAACTGGCTTCAGATGCCATGCAATGAAATGTCCAGTTTGCCAGTGAAAATTGTTCACTACATATAATGCAGTCATTGTTTCCTTTTGCAAATTAAAACTGATTGGATTAAGTCGAAATATTTCACTACATGCCAGATAGTTGGGACTGCGTGTGACTGGAACAATCTTTCTACAAAACTAGAGCCTCCCATTCCTGAATCATTGGGGGCAGACCAGTACATCATCCAGGCTTTGAAAAGGGCTTTTTTTTTTGGTCTCTCAGCATCACTGGAAACACTAGAGCACTTGGTGAGCCCTGAGATCTGTTGCCTCTCGGTTTGGGTATGAAAACCCTTGTTTGTAAGTATTAGGTGGTCCCAAGGAAGAAAAGTGTTGAAAAAGAAGAGAAGGGAAATAAAAATGTCATTAAACCAGGGCTCATATGATGCTAGTTCAAGAGAACTTTGGTTTTCAGCATGGGGAGGGGCTCAGTAAATGATGCTTGAATGAGAGACACATCCCTAACTTCCAGAAGGGACATCAGAGATAACCCAGGTCATTACTGGCATTCAAGTCTTCATCTTGTAAGATGGTCTCTTCTCTCTGAAGAAAGTTAGCACGGCTGCCCTTGCCCTTAAAGCAGGCCTCCACATCTACCAGCGCCCTTTCAGGGTAGCATCTCCCCAGTTCAGATTCTCCATGATTCAGCTCTTTGAAAGTTGGGCACTCACAAGTCCCAAGAGAGTGATACGCTGGAGGTTGTACAATTTCTAGTCTCAGCAGTGGTTATGAATAATGATGCTTTTGAACAATATTTCAGTGGCAATCAATGACAACCATATTGAGTTGCTATCGCTGAGGCCTCAGCGTGGTGTCTGTCACTGCAGGTGAGAAGCTGTTTGGTCGCCACTATTAGTAAATCGGTTATTAGTTTTCGCAACATTTTTTTTTTTGCCTTAGCTTAACTTCTTATCAAAAACTGCTCAGATCATAAAACAGAAAGACATTATAATAGCTGCCCACTACTGGGACTGTTAAACAAGAAAATGTGAACACGCTCACCTTCAATTCTGTTACTAAACGATTTATAAGAATTAGATTTCAAAAGGAATATTTTTCATATTCCTTGCATATTTTGGGGGGATTTGAGTTCATTGTAATTATTGCTCACCCTGAAAGCTTGGAAAAGTGCAGGTAACAAGATCAAACTTGCTTTTGTTGAGACTGAGCCAGATTTAAGCCAAAGTCTTCAAAGATGAAAGACTCATGTTTATTCCCCCAGTTTCTAAGACCAATAAGTGTTTCATCATTTTTAAATATAAAAAGCAAAGTCTGAAGGAAAGTAATTTTAAATTATCAGCAACTATGGCTAAACACAAAGGGGGAAGGGCACTTTACCCAAAACAATTATTTCAACAAGAAATGCAAAGCTAAGAGTCCAGTAGGAAAATCCATCTTCCCTGTGAGACTTTCAACATGATGTTCTCGTGTCCTCCTCAGTAGTAACACTAACAGACGGAGTTTTAGAGATATTATAGTTTAGCCCCGCCCCCTGAGTGGGGGTGGGAAGAATTAGCTTTCTTTAAGCCCATTTCTCTAGTGAAGAAGAAATTATAAAATCCTAACACTGAAAAATAAATAATCGTTATTTTATTGACCATGTTACACTCTGAAAAATCTCCAAGAATACGAAAAGCACTTTGGAGCTGGGCATAATGGCAAAAGCCTATATCAGAGCTCTCAGGAGATAGAGGCAGAGACATCATGAGTTCCAGGCTAGTCTTGGCACAGAGGAAGACCTATCTCAGAAAACAAAAGAACCCAAACAAAGAAAAAACACCTAAACACTATGAAAATTGTTCATTGCTCTTGGATTTACAGAGCAGCTTCCTCGCTTAAGGATTTAAACTAATTTACTCCCCTTGTATCATAAAGCCCCATTCCCTCATTCAGAGGGATTCGGGATCTCTTATCTGACTTTGTTGATTGGTGTAGTGTGGACAGACTCTTCAAAGCCATGGTGACAACACGGGATTGTTGTTTGCACTTTGTAGTTTTCAACATTTACCAAGGTTTCTTTGTTTTCACTTACCATTTGCAAAGAGCCCTTTAAAGGTGCCATGGCTGGTCTCATTTTTTTTTCTTAAGTAAGAAAACTGGAGTTCCAGGAGTAGTGCCAAACAGTGTTAGAATTGGGTCTAAAGTGCTAGTTTCTAGACCCCGAGGTCAGATTTCAAGTGCAATTTACAGAAGTTAGAGGTCTGTGCTGACATTGTTTTTAGGATGACTCTGTGTGTGTGTGTGTGTGTGTGTGTGTGTGTGTGTGTGTGTGTATGTGTGTGTGTGTGTGTGTGTTGCAGCATCATTTCCCTTTTCTCTCTCTGGTATCTTTTCCATTTCCATCAATTTCTGACATTCTTGCCACTGTATTCTTGCCTGTAGTCTTCATCATACTGGTTATATGCCCTTGCGTACACACACACACACACACACACACACACACACACACACACACACTCATTTCTTCCTGTTAGTATCTATGCAAATTTTTCTGTCCGTTTGTATGCTACCTCCACGTGCCTGTAGTCTACTTCAGATACC